GCCAGGGCCTCCCCACCCTCACAGGGAACAATTTCCTCCCAATATCCCATCTAACCCTGCTCTCTGTCAGTTTGAAGCCATTCCCCCTCATCCTGTCACTCCAGGCCCTTGGAAATAGTCTCTCCCCACCTTTCCTTTAGGCTCTCCTCAGGTACTGGAAGGCCACAATCAGGTCACTCCAAAGCCTTTATTCCACACATCACAAAGAAAAGCTCATGATGACGAAGGAGCACTTAACAACACACACAGCACTGAGCCCACAGCCAAAAAACAAAGAATTTTACACCTCAGTTATTGGCACTGTGAAGGCTGTGCTGAAAAATTTAAAGACCATACTAAACCACACCTTGTTGCACACACATAAAGACCCAAAAGCTCAAGTTCACAAATGGAAACGGAGGTATTTTTCAGTGGCTAAGAAATTGTTTTTTTCCTGTTCTAACAAAACGACTTTAAAATATGAGTATATATATTTTATCCCCTTTTTTAGAGTGGTGAAATATAATCCTCTGTACAGAATCACAGGATCATTTAGGTTGGAAAACATCTCTAAGATCATCGGGTCTAACCTGTGCCTTGTCATTCAGCCCAGAGCACTGAGTGCCAGATCCAGTCGTCCCTTGGGCACCTCCAGGGATGGGGACTCCACCACCTCCCTGGGCAGCCCCTTCCAATGCTTAAAAACCCTTTCCATAAAAAAATTCCTCCTGACGTCCGATTGCTTCGACATTCAAGTAGTTCCACCCCATACCAAACTAATATGGATCAGTGCCCAAATTTCCATGCAACGCCTGGGAGCTTAACAAGGATCTACTCAAAGAGGGGTGGAACGTACCTGTAGACACTGGCAGAAGCACCTTAAAACGGTACTTTAGCCAAACCGAGCGTTCCCACAAGGAATAAAACACGAGGACACGACATGAGATGCCACCAGCCACCAACTCCTCCTCTTCCCACTCACCTTTGCCGGCAACTTTTTTGGCTTCGGCTCCGCTTTGGCCGGCGCGGGTTTCTGAGGAGAGAGAACAAGTCAGGCCGAGATGCCGCCCCGGGGTGAGCCCTCCCGGCTGCTCCCGCC